ATCACCAATCACATCACAGCTCCTCTCTTCTGACTGCTCAGCCCCTGCTACAGCCAGGGCAATAAAGACCAGCAGCAAGGCAGAGGTATGGCAAGGTGGTGACATCCTGGATACAAGCCACATAGAGGATTAACTGTTTCAGCCCCCTGCAAACTAACTTCAGGGTCATGGAGTCAATGATTAGCCACTTCCTCAGTCCTGACTGCAAAAAGGAGAAGCCAGGTTTCTGTGATTGCTGAAATCTAGAAACCTCACATTTCACAAGAGACAGTAAATCTGAATCTCTTGCATAGCCAAAGACAATTCACTGTGCCCATTTGGGGCTCTTTTCTGAATTTGCCTTGGGACCACAGAAAGTTTTGCTGCTGAGCACATTAATCAGCTGTGAGAGCAGAGTCACTCCAGCATTCAGCCTGATGAAGTTTCAGGCATAAGTCAGTTTGTTATTGCATTGCACTGRGAAGCCATTCAGCAGAAAATTATTTATTAGGCCTCTAATCAATCATCTTTRTAGCGGTCATGTAAAGAGCTCACAGGGAAGAGCCACTGTGATTAATCAGGCTCTGTTTGTTCAAGTGCCTTAATAATAATATTTCCACGACTCCTTTATCTGAAAATCTGAAAGAGGTTAATCATGCTAAGATGTAACTTCTTCCTTTCCTTTTCTTCCCACTTTACACAAGGGAAGGAGGAAAGCAAGGCATCCTATGTAAGATCGAATCAGGGAGGCAGTAATGAAAAAGATAATAATAAAATCTGTAGAATTTGGCTTTCAGGTTCATGCTAAAAACACATATGAAACAATCAGTGATGGCACCAGCCAAACAGAGCAATCCAACAGATTTCCCTCTGCTTCTCGTGTGCAGATTTTGGTAAAGCTCCAGATGCTGGTGGAAGGCAARCCCTCAATAAGCACCTGGCTGCAGGTGGACACAGAGCCCATCTGACTGAACCCAATGACTTCCCCACAGCCCTGCAGAGACCACCACGACAGCTCACAGCTGCTGAGCGGGGTCTCTGCTCGCCATGGGGCACCAATATAAGCTTAGATACGCAGAAATCACACAATGGGTCAGGGTGGAAGCGACCACCGTGGGTCACCCGGTACAACTTCMCTGCTCAAGCAGGGTCATCCTAGAACATATGGCACAGGCTTGTGTTCAGACGGTTTTGGAATATCTCCCGTGAGGCGGACTCCACAAGCTCCCTGGGCAATGTGTTCCAATGCGCGGTCACTGAAATGAGGAAGCCCGTGACACCAGGGCTCGTGACCGCTCTCTCTCGAGGCCCAAAGCAGCGGCTGCCCTCAGCTCTAGACACGGCTTCTCCCGGGAACGGGCTGCGCGGCGCGGGGAGCTGCCCGGCCGGGCCCCTCCAGCCGGCGGCCGCTGCCCCAGACCCGCCCGGGAGGGAGCGCGGCTTCACCCCGCGGCCTCGCTGCGCCCCGCTCGCCACCTCCCCAGCGCCGCGCACCCACCTGCGGCCGCCCCGGGCACAGGCGCCGCCGCCCATAGGCAGGAGAGACCCGCGGCTCACGCGCATCCCATGCTGGGCGACCCGGGGACCACAGGCACAGGCGGCACCGGCCTCCTCCGCGTCCCGACCGGCTCCCTCGCCAGCCCCGCGAGCCGGAAGCCGSGAAGAGCGTGGCGGAACTGGCGGTCTGCACCAATGGGAGCCCGGGAGCGGCCGGGATCGCCCGCCCAGGAGCGCTCCGGCGGCGAATGATGCGCGGCGGGGGAAAGGCGGGCAGGGCCGCGGGCGCTGGGGCCACGCCCACTTCCTCTCCGTCAGCCAATGAGGGCCCGCCCCCGCTCGCGTTCCTGCCAATGAGCGGCGAGGGCGGGCAGAGGGGAGGAGCCCTCACGGGCTCACGAGCACGGCTCCGATGGCGGGCGGGCGGGCTAATCCCGCCCTGTGGGAAAAGCTGCGAGGCAGCTCCCTGGGCTGGGGATCGCCGGGCTCCCGGCTGGAAATCAGCTCACCCGAGCGCTCTGTGACTGTCCCTCGCTCAAGTCGCGCTCTCCCCTCTCCCGTGGCCCGCCCAGGCTCGGAGCAGCAGCAGGAACGAAAGATTCCCGGCGTCACCGACCATCTCGCTCCCGCTGCAGGAGGCGGTAGCAGTCCCTCGGTGTCGTTTGGCTTTGCCGTCCCTGCCAGGTGCCTCCAGAGTGATTTGTATTGAACGAGCGAGGGATCTCGACGACAAAACTGCGTTGTGCCCTTGATCCTTCTGATTTCCCCACTTTGTGTCTCTGGGCGATTTTCCCCATGGTTTGTTATCGTTTGGAATAAAGGAGTCGTCTCCACCTCCTGCGAGTTTTGCCACTGTAAGAGAAATTCCAGATCCAGCACACAAGGTTGGTGTGCTTGAGCATCTTGGATGTGATTCATAAAGCTATGAATGATTTCAGACTGGCCCATTCAAAGGACATCTCTCCTTATGACGTGCTCCGAGAGAGTCCACTTTTCCCGGGCTCTGTTACTGGAATGGGCAGATGTTCTTTGCCCGATTTCAAAGGCTTTTGCCTTCTGTGRTTAAGAAAGAAATGCTGCATTTAATGAACTTACCCAACATGCTGGAGAAAGCACTTATTTGAGAGAAGTTTAGGAGGTTTCTCCATGGTATGCTTCTTCAGTAGCAAAGAACTGGGGAAGGAGTGCTGCTGGCTGCTGAAAAATTGATTTATTTAGTCCTGTGATTCTGGCAGTGTGTCACAGCTACAGAAGTCAGATTTATTTATTCACACTTAGGTAATAACTGAGTGTTGCCTTGCGCACATTACAGTGTGATCCCTCCCTCTCTACTTCCTCTCCAAACAAAGAACTCAACTTATTGCAGGTATCAACTTATTGCAGGAAAAAAAAAGGTAAACCACATTAAAACAGAGCTCTCAATTCTTTCCCACCAGCTTTCACTTCTCCAGTTCTTCACAAATAGCACTGTCTTTGTGGTCAATCCTCGGCACGTAAAAAGTGGCAAAACTGGCAGGAGCTGGGGGAGACACCTTTATTCCAAAGTATGAATATACTGGAGAGAATCTACCAAAGAGACACAAAGTGGAGACAAAATCAAATCTGTTCCCTTAAGATGTGTTTGAATCCTGTTGGTTACTTTTCAGCTACACAGATCATATTCCCAGCTAAGCTTTCCTTGTGAGTATAGCAAATTCTCCCTCTCTAAGTTTGAGAGCTCTCTTCAGACTTCTCTATTATCCCTTCAAATGATTTAGGAGAGACTTGCCCTCTTGTCTGGCTCTGCTGTCTTCTGCCTTCCCCTTCCTTTCAAGCACACACTCCCTATATTGCTGCCTACAGGCCCTACCCAGGACTGGAAGAAATCTTGTGGGTGCTGTGTGCCAACCTTTGAAACAAGTGGAGAAATTTGCAGAAATATCAAATCTATGCCTTGTAACAAATTGTAATTGTTGTGCATTGTAACAAATTGTCCACAGGACTCTATCAGATGAGGATCGTCCCATGGAGTCATTTCTTACATTTAGAGCATGCCACTAGGAGGGGGAACAATCATCCCTGTTGGAGGTAGCAATCATCCCAACTCCTTTGTTGAGAATGCCCTAGGAATTCTTGTACTGTACTGTGCTTAAGGAGTGCAGCCTGAGCCTGGGAAACATCCYCAGAATCATAGAAMCTTTCAGGTTGGAAAAGACCCTTAAGATCATTGAGTTCAACCATTAACCTGACACTGCCAAGCCCAGCACAAGCCCATCTGTAAGCTCCACATSTGCATCTTTTAAAATACCTTCAGGGATGGTGGCTCAACCACTYCCTTTTGCAGCCTGTCCCAGGGCTTGATAATGCATTTGGTGAAGAAATTTTTGCCAATATCCAATCTAAACCTCCCCCTGGCACAACTTGAACTGTTCTCAGCAATGGTCAATACTTCAAAAGAAAAGTAGCAATTTCTGTTATTGCTGACCGTAGAGTCACTAATTGATTGAATAGGGAAGGGACCTTGCAAGGTCATCTGGACCAACCCCCTGCTCAAGCCAGGCCACCTATAACCTGGTCCACCTACAGCCCAGGACCATGTCCAGGCAATTCTCCACTGAGAGAGACACCACAATGTCTCTGGCCAACCTCTTTCGATGTTCAGTCACCCTCACAGTAAAAACRTGTTTCCTGATGTTCAGAGGCAACATCCTCTGTGTTTCAGCTTGTGCCCATGGCCTCTTGTCCTGTCACTGAGCACCACKGAAAAARGTTTGACTCTTCTATCCTYCCTTCAGGYATTTATGTACATTAATCCCAACCAAGATGTCCTTTCTGCAGGCTAAACAGTCCCAGATCTCTCAGCCTTTCCTCACAGGTCAGAAGGTCCGGTCCCTTTATCCTCTTTGTGTACCTTTGGCAGATTCTCTTCAGTATGTCTGTGTCTCCCTTGTACTGCTGCTGTTGAGATGTTGACTCAGAGGGCCTTGAGGGATGCCAACTCTCAGTGCCTGCCTTGTGTCTCAAKCACATTCACACTGGTATTGGGTGTAGACAGAGATCCCAGTCCAAAGTGGAAGTGTCCAAAGCTCCTAAGGCTTCCTTCTCAAACCCCTGCTGCCCACCTCTACTTCCCTTTGGAGAGCAGTTTGCYGTAGCCATTGCTTATCTTTACCTTGTACTCTAATTATTCACSTTTTTTCCTTGTGCTATCACCATGCAACTGCTTCTATCCTGAAGGGAGCCCCTCAGAGCAGCACACATCCTCCCAATCACTGCCATCAGTGTAACCACACCTGCTTGCACTATCAACAGTTAGAATACCCCTGAAATTGGTGATTAATCACCTTTTCTATTAATGGCTCTTCTTAAGATATCCTCCATCAGGTTAGAAAATGGAAGCTGCTGCAGTTCCACTGTTCTCCATTCCATCGTAAATTTGGTTATCTTGAGCAGCTGGAGATAGAGGTTGCAGCTTCACACTTCTTGTTTTTCTGAATATAGCGTCAGGTTTCCTGTTTCACAGGCGTTGAGCCCTGGTTTTGAACAGCCTGATGAGAACATCTTGTGCACGCTCCTTCCTTTGTCATGGAGGGAAGCAGATCAGAAATTTCTGCAGCTGAGGAGAGCGAGGAAGTAACATATACTTCTGTCAAATTCTCTCAGACTCCTCTGCCAAGGGACAAAGCTGCACAGGGAAAAAGAGGTGAGGAAAGATGGATGAGGTAGGTCAACCAAAAATTTTACTTTGAGTGAAAGCAAGATCTAACAGAAATGCTCTGAACTGGCAACTGATTCTGGGTTCCAGCTTAGAGAGCTGTTGCTTTGGTTCTAAAATTGCTGTGAATATTTTAATGTGATAAAAGCTGATGAGTTAGAGACCCAGAGCTCCCTCACTCTCACCATCAGGCTTCTTTCAGTGTCTACTCCTGGGCATTCAACCCAGGCATCCTTTTCTTCAAAACAGATTTCAAGATGTCTGCTTGTCAGCGGTAGGAGATTGTGAGCAATAGTTCTTTGAAGGGTAGGCAAGATGCGAATACAGATAAATTARAGGTGTATGCTAATCAGAGATCAGAGACAGTGAAAGGATGAGATCACCCAGCCTCTGTCCCGTGGTGCTATGCAGGATTCTTTCGTGATACATTTTTTCCTGTTTTCTGTATTCTGTGTTATGTACCTCCCAGTGAGCAAATTTGCAGCTTTTGCTATGAAATATTTCTCAGGGCACTTTACTATGAGGAGGATTTTCTTCATGCTCTCCTTATTTGTTTCTTTCCTTATTTCCTCTCCATTACTCCAATCAGGCCTCCAAATGTCACACTGAGCAATTCCTCTGGCGTCTTAATTGAGAAATTCTACCTTCAAAGAGTGAAACTTTGCATTAGTGATCATTCTTTGTAAATACTTCTTTTATGCAAAATGGTGGAGGGCTTGGAGCTAGATGATCTTAGGGTCCTTTYGAACCCAAACCATTCTATGGTTCTATGAAATGGCTGTGTGCTTTGGCTGAGTTGTGTTACATTGGCTGCAACACTGATGGTTGACCTTAAATTTTCAGAGCTGTTACAGTGAAGAGGACTCCACTGTGGGATACAAGATTTGTATGCCCTGATCAGAATAATTTCATATACATGTGGTGTTTACTGCTGCCTGGCCCCTTGCTTCACTATGGAAACAAAGCCAACACAGAAACTCCCTGGTGCACCTATCTGGTGCTCACACTCCATCTGTTTGGAAGGCAGTCTTGCTTTTGCATATGTTTTCMTCAGAAATGATGTTTTCTGTCACATCAGAAAACACAGTGACATCCTTTCACTCCCTGCCATTCCTATTTGCTCCCGTCCTGTTGAAAGTGGATTACCCAATGCCCTTCTGAGATGTTTGCGTTTTTCTTTTTAACATCTCTCTGCATTCCCGTATGGACTCTCATCTWTTCGAGCAAAGGTCAGAGAGCCTAAAATAAGGAAGCTGATCTTTGAATATACACTTTTTGTGCATATTATTTGATTCTTCTCAGCCTTCTTCAGCATGCAAGGGATTCCTAAGGAGCTCAGTTTAAGTACCTTTCTTTTGAAGATCTTAATGTTCATCTCTGTCCCTGCTTCCATCACTTTTGAGAGATGTGCTTTCAGGTATTTCTCCTCTGCTTAATGCACACCTTTGCTAACTTGGTAGACACAGTATCACTGGTATGTAGATCAGTCTTCTGGTCAAACGAACAGGTTTTGTTGCTTATGGACTTCTCAGAAATGAAGAGTTGCCCTGGTTGTGTCTTCTGTTTTGCTTACAGAGAGCCTTAGATATGCTGCACTACCAGAATGTCAGTCCAGGAGTCACTTAAGACAGTGTTAGCCTATGTGTTGTGCTTGTAGTAACAGCAACAACCAAGCCTGAGTCATAGCCAAAAACAGAATCCTTATATCTCAAATTCTTCTTCTAGGTTCTATGTAGTCATGCTGCTGCCATACTGAGGAAGGTAGGAGCTATGTGGGACAGTGSCATGACATTCTTCAGATTGTCCTAGATGAGTTGAATTGTAAAATGCTAACAGTTTTCAGTTTTTGAAGTGAATCTGGACTGACAAACCTAAAAATACTGGGTTGTGTTGCTTGCAAATGAATGCAGAATATCAGAGTCATTCCTCCTGAGCACTGAGAGGCTTAATGGGGTATTTTGTACACTAGAAAGTGATAACGTTGAATATTTACATCAAATGTCCACCAGTCCACTTTTCCCTTCCCCTGGGTAGACTTTTCCACAGTTCCTCAGACAACTACATGGAAATGTTTCTGRGTGCTCCATTCAGATTTTCCTCCTGTTTCAAACTCATCTTGGGTGCTTCTTTTGTCTATTTCTACAAGAGCTTCACGCGTAGTTCGGGGCTTGAGGATAAAACACAAACCCTTCAAACGGTTTTAAAAAGTGTGAACTGCAGGGACTCCCTTTTGCAGTATGTAAAAATCCTGATTTGTGAAATACTTTATTTCACTTCTCTGGATTGATCTCTGCAGTTTGAGTGCAGCTTAAATTAATCTCAAACACTTCCTGTTTTCCCACTTMATTTTGTTTTTTTTTTCTTCTAAAATTATCTAATGCCATATTTTTTTCATTTGTAAGAACTTCGGTGACTCCCACTGCTGGGGTTGTGAAGGTGCTCTGGGATTTTGTTTTGATGATTAGTCATTCCCTTTTTTCTGCAGTTAGTTTGAAACAATAAAGAGTGAACTGCTCTATTCATTGCCAGGAGGCACGAGCTCCTTGCCCAGTGCTGGCATTTAAGGATTAACCATTTCACAGACTGCCACCCTGGTTGCCTTGTGCTGGCAGTAGTTTTCCCTAAAATCAGTAACAGTGATCTGAAGGATGCGGGGGATAATTTCTTTGAGAGGCAAGAGTGTAAGGAAAACAACATTGCAAATGTGATCTCAGAACCAGCAGTTATATTTCATCAGATGTTTATCCACTTTTGCCAAGTTTTCAGTTGTAATCTGCAGAGAAAACTCTCCACCCTACCCCTTARCCTCGGGTTTACTTCATTCTTTTGAGGCCTAATCTGCTGACAAAACCCAAGATGCCAGGGTTACAAACAAGAGGAAKAGAGAGCAGGAGCAAGTTGGTTCCAGACCCAGTCCAAGTCCTTCAGTTCTTCCACTGTTCCTTTGTGTGAAGCTGAGGAGTAGGTTGTAACTGAAAAACCTTTCTGTATTTTGTCTCTGAAAAGAGATTATTTTCTCTTTTGATAATGATTTTAAAAATRAGCAATGTTGCTAATTTTAAACTATGTTTGGGACAGCTAGAAGATCCTACAAGCTTCAGGAAACGTGAGAAAACCTCTATCTTAGAAAAGATCTTTCTACCAGAAGAATGATGCTTACAACAAAGATCCCTCACGATCTCCCTTGTTACCTTAGAAACTTCTCCTAGCCGAAACCACAGGCCTAAATATGTTGCTATAGATGAGAAACTGGCCTTAACATTAGTGACCCTGCAAACTGCTCAAGATCAAAATAAATTCTTTTTTATTAATTTACTGATCTGATGTTTCTGTATTTGKACAAAGACTCCAATGTTTAAAGGATGCATTCTTATTTTTAAGTGAAGTCTCTTCCCCTTCTGTTTTAGTGCTGTCTTTGTCCTTCTCACAGTGTTCTTGGCATGGGACATGTGTTTGTTTTCGATCTCCACCAACAGATCAAATGTTGGATCTCATGACATGACTGGGAGTGATGAGCCTCAAATTTCATGAGATTCATGAAGACTTTGCTGCTGGATTTGGGTAGAAGGCTCTGGAAAATCGCAAAAGCAGGATGTGGTGCATTAATTAGCTGCACATTTACTGCTTCTTAGAAAGTGCTGTTGTCTGTGGAGCTAGCATACTGAGGTTAATGAAACAAGCAAACACAACTCCTCTGGAGCTCATCTATGCCAGTAAGTGTCATCCTCACCTCAGTCTGGGAGAGAGGAGATTTTTGTGCTGGGATTTCAAATGCTTTATGGAAAATGCCTCTCAGGTCAAACACAGCCCTGGGAGGTGACAGTGGAAAAGCACCATGTAGCCTGGAGGTTAASATGTCGTGCTGTACATGAGCAGATSTCTACAGACCAGTCCTGACCAGCCCGTTGAAAGGAAGCTGTGCTGGCCCCAAGGACTCACCCTCTGCCGCTGGCAGCCAATGAACAGCAGACAGTGGTGGTGAAATTGTGATGGGATGGACATCCTAAGCCTTCAAGGCTGGCTCTCCCATCCTGCCATTCTACCATGGAAGATGAAAATATAGGACTGACTTGGGAGTATCCTGGGAAGATGTAGCATGACCGTGTGTGTAAGCCTGTGAGCAGAGAGGTGCCATTAAATCTGTTGCTGGAAGAGCAGGGGAAAAGGCTTTGGGTTTCTTTTTGCATTTCAGCTGGGACATGGTGGCTGTAGCAATGCAGCTCTGTGTTTCCACCCCAAGCTTCAGTGCTGAGCAGGAGTGGATTTCTTGTGAGGTGCTGGCCAGCACGAGGTGCCACATGGGTGGCTCCAGCTGACTTGTGGCAGATGCTTCCTTCTGCTGGGGTCAGTCACCATAGGGGCTGGACCAGCAGGCTCTGTGCCCAGGCAGGGGCAGAGCTGTGGCTGATGTGTAGACAGGTACCTCCTGGGAAGCTCAGGCAGGGACTCATGACCCCAAACCCAGCTGCAGTGGGTTCCTGGGTTGATGGGCAGGRGTGTAGGGGAGGTTCAAGGTTGGCTGGGTAGGGACAGTGACATCAGCCATGTGCAGAGTGTAGACAGACATGATGCTCTAAGTAGTGYAGCTCCTTGTGGAAATGCCCAGGACACAAGCAAACTATGTAAAACCACACAGACAGTTTTCCTGTGGCTCCTGCTCACTATGGTTTCTTTTCTCTTTTATAGCTCCCTGTCAGTGSTCAGCAGTTCTGAAGGGCTTAGCCATAGTCTTTGGGACACTGAGCATCTCCCTGGCGATCGCTTTGATTTGGAYGATGAGTAAGTGCACAAAGTGCTGCTGAGAATGAGCATCCAACAGCAAAGGACCAGAGACACRTATAATCACAGAAACCTCATTATTATGGAGTTAAACCCAGAAACTATGCTACGTTTCTACCAGCCTTATGTACCCACTGCCTATCCAGAATATTTTGAAGAATGTATTCCTCATGCAGACTCCAGGCAACCCATTTCAGATCCTGTGGTAAAAAATAGTTAAACATATTGAAAAGTCTTAGTAGACTTGCCTGCTAAATGTAGTGGTAAACTGTAGAACAAATATGTCTGTAATTTTTAGGCATGCAGAAGGTGCTAGACCATGTAGAGGAGCTTACTGTTAGCTGCTTAAAATCTRTTTCTCTAATGTGTGATGTGATCACACCATGCCCACAGAGTGTGATCTGTTTTCAGATAGCCTTTTTTAGTTGTTGATTCAGTGGAAACCTGGAGGTGGGGTGGGTGTATGCATACTTGCACCAGCATCAGAGTGCATGTGACTGTTGTGAGTTTGAAAGATTTTGAAATTACRCTGTTATTTTCAGAATCTTATCCTGACTTGAGTTTACTGGATTTCAACCATCCAAAAGGGTTTTTTCTTACTAGGTCCTTTCTGACAAGTGTTTCTATTGGTTAATGGTAGAGTACGAGTATTTTGACTTCTTTACAGGTSATTGCCACCTACACTGCCCTCGACAGTGGGTGGCCTACAGAGGGAGCTGCTACTCCTTCTCCAGGGAGAAGAAGGACTGGAATTCCAGCCAGGATTCCTGCAGGGCACAGGGAGCTCACCTCCTGGTGATCAGTGATACCTGGGAAATGGTAATGGTTTGCTTAGTCTTTGAGGATATCCCATTACCTTGCAGATACCTAAATGACAGACATACTAGCAGCGCTGTCACTTCAGCAATATTTTGGTTTTAAAGGAAAGGAAGGATTTAYGACTGCAATGTTACACTTCACAAAGTTTGCAGGAAGAAGGGAAGCAAAGGGGAGAAGGGGAGATGAGGGTCACTGCCAGGTACTCAGAATCATCCTATGAAGGATGGTAGGAAACCCTCCTCCACTGCTCCTCTCCACCTCCCCTCCTAYCCCCAGTAAGGCTGATGTGAACGATCACAGGAAATGACTGTGGCACTGAGCAATCATTGTATTCATTGCCTATAAACCGATACCTCCCCACTCTTAAGGAATGCTTCCCTTGCTTCTCCTCCCTGTGACTGTTCCAGCTYCTCCTGATCAGTGACCCATGCCATTCCCTGTATTCATGCTTGGATATTTCTTTCACAGTCTCTTTTCAATGTTTAGYTCCTCTCTCTGCCAAGTGCCTTGGTTGTGCTGGTGAAATAAGGAACCATCTGTTCCTCTGCAGGTGCTCTCTGGRGGCAGGGGCATGTGTGGTCACTAGAGAAATGGGTAGTGCTGATTACTGGGGTGCTGAGGCACATCTGCTTAAGTAGAGCAGAAACCTGGATCTGGTTTTCCTCAAGCCAGGGCTTATTAGCTCAGGTCCAATGAACRTGGACAGCTTCCAGCCCCTGGACAGAAGTTGCATTGTATGATGTTCTCTGGAGGACTACAAAGCCAGGTCTCTGCTTGATTGGGAGTATGTACCAGGCTCTCACATTTACTTAGACAAACCCTGACTCCTTGAGAAATAGGCATCTTCCCCAGGTTACCCATTTCTCTGCATGAAGAAAACCTCCCTGCTCCTGCTGCTTTCTTGCTACCATCYCTGCTACCASACTGTTACCSATTATCCCTGCTYAGACTCTCCCATTTAAACAAGACTKTTCTAGCTGTCCATACCTTGTTCTGCAAAGGCAATGCCAGGCCAGCACAGTCACCTCCAAACCATTAGCAACACTCATCATGCCTCAAGGTGCTCCTATTCACATGACATTACCAAGCCAGCTTTGTTAATGCTTTTCTGTAAAGATGTCTTCTTTGAAGCTGTGTTTATGCCAGCAGGAGATAAGGCTGGAGCCCAGCCAGATACCCGAAAAGTTGTTGTTCTTTGGTTGCAAAAGTGGACAAGACAAACTTACTTCTCCTGCCTTTTTTTTTTTTTTTTTTGTTTGTTTGTTTGTTTTCTGTGGGGAGGAGGGTTGGGGATAGGGAATAAAATCCAAGGCTGAGTTTCTGTTGCAGGCTTCACCTTTTAACCTTTAATAATCTTCACCTCTTAACCTTCATCTTTAATAATCAGAAGTTAAAAGTTAGCTAAAATGAAATGAACATTGAAAACATGTAGGAGGGGAAGTATGTGTAAAACTTAAAGTGCTTCAATCCTGGCTTTGTTACACATGTCTGTCAGTGCCTTGACTTCCTGCCCTGCCCTGCCCTGGCCTCCCCTCCTTGCCCTGATTTTACCTCTAAATCTAATATTAGATTGCTAGCTGTATAGTAGAGCGTTAATACTTATAACATACCTCCCTACATAAAGCTCTGTGCAGGAAACTCCAGGAGACTGGGCTGCAGTTCATAGAATCATAGAATATGCTGAGTTGGAAGGTACCCATCAGGATCATTGAGTCCAACTCCTGGCCCTGTGATTAGAAGACGTGGGGAATAAGTATGGTCAGGAACTTAGGGAACAGTGAGGCGAGGGGATATATCTCTCTTTCTATTCTCTTTACTTATCCTGACCTCCATTTTCAGGCTGGCTTTCATTAGTCACTTTGTAATTCATCATGATTTCTAGGATATGTTCGAGCGTATTCAAGCAGAATGTTTCTGGATTGGACTGAGGAACAGTACAAGATCTGGATGGATTTGGGAAGATGGCTCTATATTCAATGCTTCCAAGTGAGTTTCATTCTGTTTTAAAAACAATGGTGTTTATTCAGAGTGCCTAGTGTTCCAGAACACCCAGAGTTCCTCCTACAGATGTCAGGACTTTCTTCCTGGGCAGATTTTCTTCTTCCTGTGACCTGTACCGCGCTGAGCTTGCATCTTGTAAGGACATGCACCTGTGAAAAGCAGGTCAGGCTTTARTATCTCGCTCTCTACTCCCCTCCAGCTGCTCAAGGATTTTATTTGCCTGTACCAGCACACAGATGCCTGGTCAGAAAGGCAAATGGCTTTACTGGGTTTAGCCATCCATTCTGTCAAGTGCTGGTGTCACTGGGTGCGAGGACCCAGCCCTTTGCTGCTCCACTGGTTGCCAACCCAAGTCAGAACCTTAATTTCAGCTCAGTCCTTACTTGGGCATAATTCAGTGTTTTGCATGAGGGAAAACATGTTTTTATCCAGGGACTTTCCTGGCCCTTTCCTTTTTAGGCAGTTAAGGCAATGAGTTTTAGTTTCTAAAGCCTCTCCAGCAAGGAAAACTTGCCCAAGATCTCCCTGTCAATAGGTCAGTACTCTGAGCACTTGGCTTAGTTTCYTGAATAAATCCTGCTTTCTGTTCTTACAAACTCCTTGAAGGTAATGATAATTCCATGAGACTTTCACCTGTGCCACTCACATGCTGGTGGATATCACTGCCACTGCAGATTGTTGTGTCTATGTTTGGCTCTGATTTGSGTTCTATGATGGCAAAATTGCTTAGTTGTGGCAGGTAGATAGGTTTTTTGGWGTACATTCTATTTTCTAACAGCTGCCTTTTGGAGGTCAGGTTGTTTGTCCTCCTCTGGGCTACACCCTTCAATATCAAATGTTTTTWATTTCTTGTCTCCAGGAGACAATCTCAGCATTTTCTTTTGTTCTCACTACTGTTCCATGTATCTTKCAGGATCCTCTCTAACAGCCCTGTGCAAAACTGTGCTGTCCTGATGAAAGGTCAGTTTCATGCCTCCAGCTGTGAATTTGCYGCTCCGTGGATCTGTGAGAAGTCGCTTAGATAAATCCCAAGTGCTTTTTAGTCTCACGATGACCTCGTCAGTGATATGAGTTGATCATTGTCCTGCAAAGGAAAGCTTCACACAAGAGCAAGGACTTGCCTTTTCAACACCCTCACTAAAGTGTTTTACAAGGAGAGGTTTGTTGCCCATAAGGGTGAGTTACCCTCAGCAATAGATCTGTTCTCAGTCCACAAGTGTTCGATTACTGCTGTTTGTGACCAGATGAGACCTGGGACATATTCCCTGGCCTAGTCTTTCTCTTATTTGTCCTATAAGGGCAAACAAAACCTCTTGTCACAAGTGGTGTCTTCAGATCTCTGTGGGGGTCCTAGCCATTTTCCTTCACATTTGAGCATCAGGTTTCATTTCCATTCCCTGCATCCTCATTGTTTGATATCAGAAAGACCAGGGAAAATGAAGCCTGCTGTTCACTGACAGAAACATATAAACAKATTTTTCCCAGTGGCAGCCGTTCCTTTTGCATCCCAGTACTATGAGTTGGGGAGAAGAGGGTAAAATGAAATGACAACTTCTATAAATCCAGCAGTGAAAATAAAACTTCAGCATTGCTCTGGACCAAAAGCGAGTCTGTGCTATTTCTTCTCTCTGTTGGAAGGAATTAACTGCAGCCATAATTTATAGGCCAACTTTAACCAAACCAGTCAAGAGACTGGACTTCTGGAGTCAAAGCAATACAGTTAATTTTGTCTAATTATTGAATCAACCAAAACTTGTTTTCCTCCCCACGTCTGCATTTTCATACTGCAGATAGAGGAAGCAGCAGACAAACCCATAATACAATGATCTTTCAGTTCAAATAGAGCAGAGACAGGCTCAGAGTTTGAACACCCCAGAAACACAGTGAGTATTTGGGAGCACTGTGTTCAGTTCTGGGCTTCTCAGTATAAGAGCTGTGGACATAACGGAGAGTCCAACACAGGACCACAAGCATGACAGAAGGACTGGAGCATCTCTGCTATGAGGAGAGGCTATGACAGCTGGTTTATTCTAAAGCAGAGGAGGCTGAGGGGAGATCTTATTCATAGGATCATAGTAGCACAATAACCAACTTTAGCATTTCAGTTCAGACCACATACAATATACATTTGCTTCRTATTTTTATTATAATTGCAGAAAATCCCTACCAGTACCAGGGGCATTAACTTCCATATGCTTACGAGGATGCTGCATATGAAGTTGTCAAGGCAGATAAAGACAAAGATCTTAATATACTTAGCTAAGTGGGTGACTGCTGAGCCTCATATAGAGTTCACTAAGGTGAGGGTCTCAGGTGGGACTGTTTTATAGCAAGGGTGGGTCTGTTTTTCAACAACTATGACTACGGCAGGCAGACCTGGGGAAACTGCAGGGTGGTAGGGTGTCCAAACTCTGAGTTTTCATCTTGGATTGTCTGGGTTACTTTGGGTGAGTCATTTTATCTGTGCCAGAGTCCATTCAACTATCATAACATAGTTGTTCCTGACTCYCAGAAAGTTGCCAGACACGATGAAATAATGCAGGACACTTGGCTTGCTTTGTCAAAATGGTGGTAGCATTTGTAGAAGGGAACRTAGCAGTTAACCATCTCACCTCTCAGCTCATCTCACCTACGTATCATCATATTATGAGAAGCTGAAGAAACAGCTGCTCATATTATAATGATACGTAGGTGAGATGAGCATGTCTCTGAGCTTGCCTTAGAATGGAATGAAAACATTTCAGTTTTTGGCTACAGAGCACATTTTTGACCAAGGTCCTAATGATTAGGAGCTGGCGTGGGAGCTGTGTGAGCTGTTTGGCTATTTGACAAAAAGAGTACATCTAGCTCCCATGTGTAGTTCTGCATCTTGTTCCTGTAGGGTTTATGTTCCATCAGTCCAGCTCCTGACCTGTTCAAACRAATGTAAATTGTCATCTTCAAAAGGGCTTTGACCAGCTCATGTACACCATCCTCTTCTGTGTGGGTGAGGCAGACTTTCCTGGGTTACATTTCTTTTGGGCAAGCAAAGCAGTCTTTGGGTATCAGATGCAGAAGGAAGAGCACTTCTGGGCTGTCTTTTGTGCAGTCATCAAGGAAATTGCACATGCACTACCATCCTCCTTTTTCCTATGCAGGACACTGCAGGGCAGAATGAGGCATGTAATGAAGGTTTCTTACTGCACTTGGATTTCTTGTCTCCATAGTTCCTGAGCTTACCAAAGTTTTGATGATTATAGTAGGAGAAGGGTAGAACAGACAGAAAATCATTTTATCTTACACACTTTTTAATCTGAAAACTATGCTTTACATCCTCTAACATAGATCTCCATTCTTTGGAGTTTGCATTAGAACTATAAGTAAGGCAGATATTCTACTGTCACTTGCAAGGGTAATAATTACCAGACCTATTGATCCTCCTGCTGCAGACCAAGTAAAGACAGTGGTCAAAAACCCCAATTTCTGTCTATGGTACAACATTGCCTATCCCAGTGCATTACTTGGAATTTCACTTAATGAAACCAGAATGGGTCCATCAAACAGCAATGATTTGATCTAGATGTACCAATAACTTGGCCTGGAACAAGAGCTGGGAGAAGGAAAGCAAGACCCAGGCCACACATGTTCTGSTGTGTGAGGGTAGCTGCTGCTCTGGGCAACTGGGTTAATGTGTTACTTGCTGTTAAGGGGTTGAACTTTTGGCAGCTTCCCATCATGTCACTGTCCCTGTTTCTGTCAGGGTGAAGGCCAGATTATTTTAGATGACTTGATTGTCCGGCACTTTCTGGCCTCTTTTCCTGGCATTAGCTTTGATGGGACCAGGAATAGAGAGTGAAAGGGAACAGCGTGGGTGGAGAGGGAAGGTTTTTACGGTTTGCATTCCCTGCTTTCACAACCTATTAATGGGATTTTGGCGCACCCACTCTTGTTTCCCAAATCCTATGCTCCTAGTTTGAAGGAAATCAAACAGCTCCTGCTCCTCCAGCAGCCTGCTTGATCTGTGCCATGTCCAGCTCCATTCAGAGAGCCCTGCAAGAAATGGAGGCCTTCCCCTCATGCTCAGATGTTAGCCCTTCTTTCCTTTAGCTACAACCTTTCCTTCTCCATTGCCTTTGTCCTGCCCCCRAAAGAAACACAGCTCTGGGCTGCCAGGAACCCTCCCCTCCCTCTCTCCCCCAGCACTGGCCTTCTGCCCGGACTTGGAGCTGCTAGTTCCAGCTCCTCCTTACTGCCTCTCCCTGTTTCCGGATGGGCCCTGGCCCCCAGCCCTTATCTCCTCCAGCCCCTGGGCTGTTTGCAGAGGAGACTATAAAGGGGCTGACTGGGAGAGCAGAGGGGGAGTCAAAGCAGCACTGGACCACACTAAGTGTCTGCTTGGCTCACCACGTCCAGCCATGGGGACCATGGGGAAGAACAGGCTGCTTATCAAATCAAGCATCTTCTTCCTTCTCCTCTTCTTCCCTCCAGGAGACACCTCACCCATCACAGAGCCGTAAGCAATGCTGGGGGGTCTCTGGGCAGGCAGGAGACCTCAGCTGTGTTCCTGTGTCTATTGCTTTGTCCCGTGTTTTCTATCTAATTTCTTTTATCCAGGAATGCAGACACCAGGGCTGGGTAAAGTGCCTTCTACAAACAGAATCTATGGTGTTTGAGAGAGACCCAAAATAACTGAGATATCAGTAAAACTTCAGGGGAAGAAAAAATGGAAGAGGGAAACGTCTATGAGAATACCTTTTGCTCTTTCAGTGACTTGATAGGATTTAAACAAAATTTTATGCACAAAATTAGTTTTTTTTGAAAGTCAACTTCCAATAAGTGTTTGTGCAATGAGTTCTTCTTAAGAGACAAACTGTTTTGAAAGGACAATGAAAGGTTTAATTTTGAGTTGACTGTCCTACTCCTAGGTTGAAATRCCCAGGAGTTGGGAGTGGCTTTTTTAGATGATAATGAGAAGGGAACAAATAGCACCAAATAACATATCTGGCATGCTCAGGAATGGCTTTATTATTATAATTCACATTTTTCAGCTCAGCCAATGCATTGAAAATTTTTTCTCACCCAGGGTTATGTGACAGTTTAAGACTGACTGTTCAGGTATCTGAGGGTATATTGTCCTGCCTCCCTTCTTCAACCCCTTTTGCCCTGTTTGTATGTGAAGGGCATTTTTGTGCATGTGTGTGTATATATGACAGAAACATGGCATGAAGGGTCCTGACATCTCAAAGACTTTCTTCTTTGGCTTTTTGGCAATGTCTCTGTCTCCCCTGCAAAGCACTGGGCACCTCACCCGTCACAGAGCCCCACGGAGTGCAGGGGAGTTTCTGAGCAAGGCTGTGCTGCASTGCATTCATCCAATGCAGGGGAAACAGACACGGGGATCTGAGGGGCCAGAACTTGGTCCCTGCAGACCAGCTGATAGACAAAAAGGTGCCTGAGTCTCTGCAACTGCTAAAAGGAATGCTGTGAACTTCTCAGTGCTCTGGGTATGCCCATCGGAGGCCAGTCCTCATCCACCAAAATGAGAGCATGGTTAGCATTAATCGGGCTTGATTCCCAGTTTCAGTGCTGGGCACTGGGACACCACYAGCAAGTTGCCACACTGGGAAGGAAGGAGGCTGTGCAGAGCTGAGCAGGGATCCCCTGTTGCRCTGAGACAGAAGGCTTGCTTCCCTGAAAACCTGAATCTTGTTTGTGTTGTTGCTTAAGATCTGGCACCACGCTGTGGCAGTTCTGGATTTCTGCGARGAATTGGAGTAGCGCTACAGATGCTTCACAGTGTGTCATCAATGGCATTTATTCACCGGGTACTGGCACTGCTGTGGCTCCTGAATCCTATTAATGGTGTCTAGCAAATGTGACAGTTCACTTCCCCCTGCCTTTMTTCAGGATCCCAGGAAAGCGTGCTGCTGTTGTGCCATAACTTAGAAAAACATATCCTTTCCAGATGTTTGCATGGGGGATTTCCTCTGATATTTTGCATTTGCAGGCAGCCTCTCTGCTTTCCCCTGCTGCTACAGGGGACGTGCTGGAAATCTTGGTACACTCTTAGAAAATGCACCTTTCCCCCTGTGTGGCGGGGGCTGTAGTCATCAGGTTGGTTTATTTGTTCCTTCTATACAGCTCCTGTTACCTGTTCCTGCTCCTCTGACCTGTCCTTCTTCTCTGTTCCCAGGCAGTACATGGTGCTGGTGCCCTTTATGATACACACGGATTCTGTTGAGAAAGTCTGCGTTCAGCTGACCCACCTGAACGAGTCGGTGACGCTGAGTGTCACACTCGACTATCAAGGGGAGAACAGGAGCCTGATTGATGATGTGGTGTCAGAGAAAGATGTGTTCACCTGCATCCCTTTCTCTGTGAGTATCCCATCCTTGTGGGGTGATTCTTTGTGCCAGGGATAAAATGTGAAGGCACTGAGAAGTAATGAYGAGAGTAACACTGTGTAGATATTCACTGACCTCTTGGCCAAAGGTGTATTTACGTCCATCCCCAACACCTTCTCACTGCTGAGTTCTCCTTGGTATGCTAAATGACTGTGGGATGCTGAATCCTGGAAAGCTCTTTCTAGGACAGGAGAAGATA